TTTTATGATAATAAAATATAATATTTCCAATATAACATTAATTTTTTATTTTCATAACATTTTTTCTTAATATTTATCTATAATGAGATTTACAAACATTAATTTTAATATTCTTTATATAAAATATTTTCTAACAATGAAGAAATTTTTATAGAGAAGTCCATTATAGAAATATTAATTTCTTGAATAGAAGTTTGGAATTCACATTATTTCTGCAATAAATCAAATTCAATGATACTGTAGCTAATAAATTTTCACATTTTAATTCATTTTATGAAAACATTCCAGAGTCGCAATCACAGCGAGCTAATAATAACACGCGCAAAATGAAATCTCGCCGCGTCTCGTGCGTCATCATTCGTCCGAAAGGCAATATCGCGAGCGGATCTCTTTGTGGGTGTCACTTGCACGGCTGCCCGAGGGTCGCATGACACGGAAAATAAGCTTGCGTGTCGGTGCGTACGTGAATGTCAAACGAATCAGCGATCGAACGCGAGCGAGCACCTGTCAATAATTAAAAGGGCTCTTTCACTGATTACCAGATCAAACGTCTGTGAAGATAAATACCATACAAAATAACAGGGCCCTTTCTGTTTTTGTGCATCTGGAAGAGAGAAGAAGCCGTGGTGCCTAATCCAAGCGAGACATCAAACAGCGCCCGGAAAAATATAAATTCAACTTTGTGCACACCCGAAATGCGGTGCCTGTTCTCTTCGCTGCATGATAAATCAACCGCTTTCCGCATTTGTACCAAGATATAAAAAACGAGCCCGACGGGAAGGCTGAAAAAGGTCCGATTGTTTTCATGCCGGTGGCAGGTATTTCAACCGAAAAAGCGAGAGAGCAAACAAAAGCCACAAAAGTTGCAAAGAAAGAAATTTTGGAGTGTTCACAGAAACTTTTTTAATTAAAAATTTTGACGCCCCTCTAAAGTGCGAGTAGAGACGCGACGTTTAATTTTAGCTTTATCAAGATGGACCGATATAAGACGGCGCTACTTTTTGTCACTGAGCGTTATTCTAAATGAAGCGGCTTGTTAGTCAACTCGGGACTAATTCTGCAACACTGCCCGAGTTATATCATGGCGGGAAAATGAGCTAGGCTTGTATTAAATAAAAGTAAAATAAAATAAAAGTGTTGGCAAAACTCGCCAGCAGGTCCACCTCGTATTACTTCTCGGGCTTATAATGAGGAAGAACCGCGGGCCGCGCGCGCTGCTTTAACATAATTTCGCCGAGTGAACGTCACGCAGTTGAGTCGGCCGCGAACTGTGTGTGCGAGTCTTAGAATAGAACCAGCCTCTAGCTAGAGGCTCAGACCAGACCTCCTAAACAACACGCGCACGGCGACTGCCCGCCCGTCCATCCGTCCGACAGCACCATGCACATTTTATAACAACTCGCCAATTCTATCAGGCAAATAATTCACATCAATGACCGAAATTTATAAGGAGAAAATTCACCTTTTTGTTTCCTTTGGATTTTTTTGAAGTACAGAGGAAAATCACTAACTTTGATAATTTTCCGTCAAAAATTTGACAGAGCCTATAATTGGAAGTTTCAATTTTAAAAGAAGAATTTAATATTATATATAAAAGTCATCTTCCACTTAAGATGAAAAAAAATGCAAAATATGGAACATTAAATTTTTTGGGAGTTTAATAAGTGTTTCTATAATTGTTAATTAAAAGAAAATTTTCAGTATTATTCATGGGTATAAATTTTGTTATTAAGTTAATTAAAATATGATTAAACCATGACCAATTAGGTTGAGTTCTCATATTCGCGCGCTAATTAATTGAACTCTCTGGAAAGTTCATATTTTTTCCACGAGCAAAAATTCAGCATCATTCTCGTCGTTCAAACTCTGCAAAAGGTCGATGGCATTGTGGGTTTTCATTTTCAACAAAAAGAATTGTGCTCTTATTCCGCAAACTTTCTCTTTTGAAGAGCAGACGCGCAAATTTTCCATGCGACAAAAAGACCAACCGGCGCAAAGGAAACGTTCTAGTCAGAGTTTTTGCTCTCCATATGCGTGCTCGCAATTGTTTTTTTCCTCAGGAGCGAGAGACGGAAGACGGTGAATAACATTGTCTGCATGCTCTGGTATTTTTTGTCTCAACCCCGCACGAGAGAGTAAACAACTCTTTTGCGTGCGAGAACCCTTTGGACTGAAATATTAATTCGGAATTAGCAGACACGCACTGAGTAAGAATTCAATTATGCGCGGCCGCGGCGCAAAGAAAGTCCAATTTCGCGCTGCAACAAAGCGGAAAATCCGGCAGCGGCAACTTTTAGCCTGCTGCGGGCGCAAAGGGTTATGCAGAACCCGCGACGCACGAGTGGTCGCCTCGTTTCATAATTTTCAGCGAGCTTACATACATTTGAATTTGATTTTCATTGCGAGACGGGGCCACCGAGGGCAAAAGTTCATTATGAGCGTGCTGGGAAAAACGATTATTTATGCCAAAGTTTAAAATTCCAGCGCGGTTTACTCGCACAGCTCGACAATGATAATTGAATTTAATTGCTTTTTTGTAAAAGGTACAAAAAGCGGAGTCTGTGCTTTTAGAAAATAAAATTTAAGCAGTGGTGGGTAGAATAGTAATTAATGCAATCACAATTAAATTAAACGACTCTTTCTTAAATTTATATCACCATACCTTTATCATAAAGAAAAAATATAAATACAAGGTGCTGTAAATTTTACTTTGCCACTTTGAACTTTCCATAAACGCAGTGTATCAGAATATAAAACTGACAAGGATAATTAGCATAAAAGAAAACAAATCATAATTAAAAGTAGTTAATGAAGAGAAAATTATCAGCAATCACAAAGCTTATAATTATTGAGTTTTTTTTTCTCTTTCACAAAAGAATTATTTTTTTGTGTACAGATGAACGGAACACACAATAAAAATATTTAAATGGTGAAATTGATTAAAAGTTCAAGCAAATATATTTATTAAATTTCCATAACTGCTTTTAAATACAGTTTTACCTCCAATTTCTTCTTCTCTTTATTGTGATGCATGTGTGGTAGTTAATCAGTATAGGCGAGAGGCAAAATGGGTCATGTTTTCTAATCTATTTTTTATATTGCTTTCCAGAGATAAAACTACACCTTAATATAAAATATACAATATATAATCCCTTTTTTTACGTTATTATATACTTAAAGTTTTGGTAGAATGGATAAATATAAATGAAAAAGTCACCTTCCTTTAATTCTGTTTCCATTGCAATTCTACACAGCCGCATATTAATTGTCAACTATGAAAAGGTCAGCTGTATTGGCGCACTTATTATTGCATGTGATTTGCCCATAGAGCTCGGATCGTTTGGTGCTAACCAGCAGACAGACAAATAAACAAACAGCGCGGCGGCCAACAATAACTCCATCCAAGTGGGGCCTGCGATCCGCCAACGAGATAAGCGCGGCCAACCTGTAATTGGCGCTCTTTTTGAAGCGCAAATGCCGTGTGTGTGCTGATAAATTAAAGCTGTGCAAGACGCGCATTGTTGGGTGCTTATCGGCAGCTCCCACGTCGCAGTGCACCCACCTATGCTGAAATAATAATGCCACCCCCTGGCTATTAATCTCGCGGTGCGGTTGAGCGGCCGCTGCTGGATTCCAGTTCCGGTCACTGATGAATAATCGAGTTTTGCATCGCCAGTTCGCAATTTGTGGTGCATTTCCAGCTCACTCTCTGCTAAGCTTGCAACCCTTTCAGCAAATTGCGCCTGATTGTTTCCCAACGCAATTAGAATATATGGCCAGCCGTTCGCACAATGTGCAGTGTGCTGCTGCAATTACGGAGTATGTAAATTTTTTCAAGATCGCTCAGTGACATTTCATAGGCTATGGAGAGTAATGTAAAAGAATCTACAGCTGAATTTTTTAGAGAGAAGAGAGGGAATGAATTTGGAAGCTTTCCAAGATTGAAGTTTTTTATTTAATTAGTAATTAGCAATCATTATAGTTTTAATTTAATATACCTGTATGACTTCTAATTAAGTTGTAAATGATTAAAAAAAAATACATCAATTCATATTTCTTGCTCCTTTTAAGCTCAATCAAAGATATAAAAATCTGAAAAAACTTTGTCACTAAATTATTTCAATTTTCAAAATTTCGATAACTTTTGGAAGCTCTTTGAAGTTGAAATATGCTAAAAAATTAAATTTTTGTGTTTATATTTTCTTTAGTATTTCCGGCAGGCGTGCGATTCTTCATAAAATTGATCTGCCAAAGCAGTAAGTGGCTTCTTCTCTCAAAATCAAATTTTACGACCCTACTGCGCCTTGCTGTGTGCTTTCGAATTCGTCAGCTGCTGGTGTCTTTCATGTGCTTGGCTTAAAGCTCATATGGATGAAAAAAAAACAGTTTACATTCATTGAGGAATATGAGTGCTTACTAAAACGACTATCGCCTTAAGCCTGCTTGTAGATATAGATGCAGACATGCGCTCATCATTAACTTAAAGGTAAACACTCTCTTATATTGATATTGTCAGCGTTTTTACTGCGAAGATAATAAATATCCCCAATTTAATTTCAGTCAGCTGTTATATGCCGGAGGAAGCAGTCTTTTTTTCAAATGTGACCTAATTAATTACCTTCTTCGAGTTTCCATAATGAACAATTTAAAATTATAAAACATCGATAAATGGAAATAAAGACAAAATAGTGTTTTGAGCAAAATTATCTTAAATTTTGATTATAAATACAAGCATAAAAAATATAATAAATAGTTTGAGAAAGTTTAAACAACATGGAAATTATATAAAAATTGGTAATAATTAAGAAACGATTTGATTGTAAAATTCGAATCCAAACCTCAAAGTTTAATACTTTATATAAAGTCAGTTTACTACCTGTTATTTAGAGAATTCCATTAAACTCATTTCGTCTGCTAAATTACATTAATTTTTTTTTAATGAAAAATAAATAATTGAAATAATTGTGGAGTTAAATGTGTTAATAATTATGTGTACTCACCGGTTCTGACGAGCTTGAAAGTGACCGAGTTGTGGGTCTTGAGGGCCTCGTTGAGGGCCGGGTGGGTGAGCTCCTTCAGGGTGACCTCGCCTGCCATGACTCGCTTGTTGAAAGTGACGGACTTATTCTCAGACGGACTGACGCCCAGGGAGATATTAATGAGTTCCTCAGCCGGGAAGATCACATACATCCTCCCTGCACCGGACGCGCCATGCTCGTTCGTGGCGCGTTCCTGAGTGGCGGTGTCGAAGCGGAATCGCCCTGGCCGACCTCAGGGCCGCCGCCTCCGAGAGCACACTGCTGGACGCGGCGGGGGCCGTGCCGCCTCCACTGGCTCTCCTCTCGAGAAGCGGTGTCGGCTGCTAATCAACTTGGTGCGCCCCACGGCGTGCCGAACACGTCTGGCCGAAGACCGATGCCGTGCCGCCGACCCAAAAGGTGCTTCGCTCTACCCCGTGCATGCGTCGAGCGCGCGCGCGGGGCGGCGGGGAGGGATGAGAATGAGAACCGTCCGCGAGTACAGAGCTCAACAGGCACTCGCTGCCGCCGCCGAGAACCCCTTCCCCTCACAATTCTCCGGCAGGGCATCAAGGCCATCAAGCACAAGGATTCAAAAACTAAAAACGCAAATTTTCCTCAACTTTCTTAATTATTCAGATTTCCGCAACAATTTAAATTTTCACTAGATTTTCATTTTATACATTTTATTTTTGTTTTGCATATTTTCCACTTTTATGGTTTATTTTCCCAACGAAACTAACAAACAACTGAACAAATGTGGAAGCAATTTTTTTCTAAAAAAAAGACAGAGTCTAAAAGAAATTATCTGCTACATAATTATGTATCGAGTCTTTTTTTATTGCATATAATCAATATTCCAAATATTTTTGCAATGGAAATTTTAAATAAAGACAATGGAACTAGATTGACTGGAAACTGGGGAGCACATAAAACAAAAATTTCATAAAATTTAGCAAAGTTGACTTGAATTTCCGAATTTTAAATGCAAAATTAATTAAATAATAGAATTTGGAAAACAAAATTAACATATGATTCTTATTGTATATTTTTTTTCTTTTGGTTAAATTCTTATCATATATTTAGGCCTCACACTATATGTTTAGTACTAAAGAAATAAACCATCCTTGAACCGTCAGCAGTAAAAATGGATGATCGCGAAATAGAATAGAGATTATTCTTATACCTCAAATCATGTTTATTAAAAATTTTAATTAGTTGTTAAATAATTGATAAATTATGATTTTTTGAGCTTCTTTAAAATGATTAAATTGTGTGTTCCGGTGTGTTCAAATTAATTATTAAGTATTTATGCATATTATTCAGTTAATCTCTGAACTTTAAGCTTTTTAAAAAGCTATATAATGATTAAAATACAAGAAAAGGCAATTCATTATGGATTTTAAGCTGAATGAAAAATACTACTTTCTGTAGGTGTTTTACACCCCCGGCAGTTTCCATCGTAGATGAGGCAGCAGATGCACTGCACCACCGCCTTTTCCCAAATCGGCCGTCAAAAGTGCTAATTTATCCCGTCTCATCACTTTGGCTAAATGATTGATAGCAAAACACCTGCGTTCGCTTATCAGACTTCGCCCCCGCTGGAGTCCTAAATCCTTTTTTTCAGCAGATGAAGACCCTCTTGCGCCTTTTGCGCCCTTCCAATTCTGAAAATGAGTTCAGGCCAGAATTTGTAGTTAGGCGCATGAGAGGGTCATGCATTGCAGCAGTCCGAGGAATCGAGGAATGCCTACATCAATTTGTGTAGAGTCCCTTTTTCGTTTGCCGCTTGGGAGGTATCCTACGGCCGATATTCCTAATTCGAGTCGAAGGGGGTCGAGAAAGAGCTACGGAAAAGGAGGGAATTATATATCCTTTAATGTAAACGCGCGCGTGTGGGTGGAGCACGTTCCTCTATTGGATTGGACACTTGACCTGTATATAAGATACTTCATAAATGTATAGCTGGAGCTATTTTTTTCTTTACATAGATTTAAAAAGAAACTTCAATGGTTTCGCTTTCTTATTTGAAGAGGTGAAGTTTTCTATAAATAAAACTAATAATAGCAGCGCCGCGCATGTTTTTGTGTTAAAAATAGTACTATATCCATATTATCATGCATGCATTATTGCCAGTTTTTAGATATTGTGATACTTAATAAAATTCAAGCATAATATTGAAGATACACGTAGAAGATAAATACTGTTGTTTAAAATTTTGCAAATTTTTTTTATTTCCACTTGCTCATTATTTGTAATATCTATAATTTTTTCTTCTCTTGATCAAATTAAATTGCATTTTTTACTTTGATTTATGTATATAACGTTAATCGTTATCGTTTACGAAATAAGTTGATTGCTTCTATTTTAGATCAATAAACCCAATAAACTCATTATTGTCAAAAATTATATTAAACAAAATGTAATTTGCAACAATTGCATGTGTTAATTGTAACTTATATTTGTAAAATTTTATTTATGACGGTTAGTATTGAATTATTTGGAAGTTTACCTTAGTTTATTTATTTACATTTTTGGAGAATAAATAAATAAAGTACTTATCATCAGAGGTCATCATTTGTTATTTTAAGCGTTTAAAATACATCCCAAATAGAAATATTGAGAAATCACACTTTGTGCTCACAAAAATGCACACACAGGAAAAAATAAACGCCAGAATACAATACCAATGAAAAAGAGAAAAATAAAAAAGTATGTAGGAGATAAGGAAGGGTAAAAATATGTCAAAAAAAAAATAAATAAAAAAAATATATCAGTTCATCTTTTCCTTGCTACCAGTGCGGCGCTTACGAATTTATGCTTTTAAAATGCTTATAACCACCATGGTTACTCTGCTCCTCATTCCAAAGTTAAGCGAGCTTTCATTTACAGACAACAGATGGCGTCCAACCTAATTTGTGAATTTCGCTGGAAAGCGACACTAGCGGCACCCGACTGGAACTACTGAAAGGAAAGCGGAAAGCGAAAAAAAAAAAAACATTGAAAACATTCATCGCATCTTTTGACCACAGGTGAGACGTAGTGAAATTTTTATCCCCGAATATTTTTGCAATCATGGCCCTTTTTGGCCCAAATTTGATTTATTTTTGAACGATAATAATTGCTTCAAGCGTGGATGGTAAAGATTTTGCAAATTTTTATGTACAAATTTGAAAAATTGAGATAGAAAATTGGTCCTCGATATTCGCTGCCGTGCATTGTTGACGCCACGCACGTGATGTTGAGATGAAGCGTTGTAGTTCAAATTTGATCATTTTCTGCTCAATTTTGAAGCTCTAATTAGGAAGGATACTAATTGTGTATCATTCTTCAATAAAATCTGAATTTTAATCAAAATAATTCCGTTATTTTCGTCGAAACTTGCATCTGCCAGTTTACGGCCATGCCATGTTTGTATTTGTATCTTCATTAATCATAAAATATATTTTTAATCCCTAACCCTTGAGATTCTTGTATTTATTTAAGAAATCTGAGCATATTTTAATGAATATGTTATCTCATTATTGTTTATTATGTAATCAATATTAAAACATTATATATAATTTCCAGAATGGCGGACGCAGCTCCAGCCGGTGGCCGTGGAGGTTTCAGAGGAGGATTTGGCGCTCGTGGCCGTGGTGGAAGGCCTAGGGGTCGTGGTCGCGGAAGAGGCCGCGGACGCGGCAAGGAGGCCGAAAAGGAGTGGGTGCCTGTCACCAAGTTGGGCCGTCTGGTCCGTGACGGCAAGATCCGTTCCTTGGAGGAAATCTACCTCTTCTCTCTCCCTATCAAGGTGCGTTTTCTTCCCTTAAACATTAACTCAAAATTTGAATGATGATTCTTGGTCCGTGTTTCTGAGATTGATGTCAAACTTAAACCTCTACTGATTTGAAAACTGTTCTTAGTAAAGTGACACTCTGATATTATTTACTAAATATCTTTTCCTACCAATTGCAGGAGTATGAAATCATTGACTTCTTCATCGGAAGCCAGCTGAAGGATGAGGTCCTCAAGATCATGCCCGTCCAGAAGCAGACCCGTGCCGGTCAGCGCACCAGGTTCAAGGCTTTTGTTGGTGAGAAGAAAAATTAATTATTTAGCCCCATAAATTATTTAAATATATTAAGAAAGAAGTTTTAAAATTTTACAAGTGATCCTGATGATTTCTTTGGTCCGTGTTTCTGAAAAGTGACGATCCCCTTAACCACTTCTGAATCACTTTAACTCAATTCTTTAAAAGTGCCCTGAGCTTCACGCATTTTGCTAATTGTGCTTAAAATTTCAGCGATTGGTGACTCTAATGGTCACATTGGTCTTGGAGTCAAGTGCTCCAAGGAAGTGGCCACCGCCATCCGTGGCGCCATCATTCTGGCCAAGCTCTCCGTCGTTCCAGTCAGGCGAGGCTACTGGGGCAACAAGATCGGCAAACCTCACACAGTCCCTTGCAAGGTAATTTTGATTTCCCTGATTCGTAAAATTTGTGCGAGCCTAGAGTCACTGTCCAGTCAAATGGCTTGCTAGTGCTATAGGTCTCGAAAATAAACGCTTGCTCCTTTCAAATTCCGTGGACTGCTCAGGCGTCTGCTACATTTCTGAGGAGCTACAATTGATTTCAAATTTTTTATTGATTCTAATCATAATTTTTATTTATTAAAATACTTCTATAATGAGCAGACACTGTAATATCGAAGCTATAATGGTACTTTATTTTTTCCAGGTGACTGGCAAGTGTGGCTCCGTTCTGGTGCGCTTGATTCCTGCACCTCGTGGTACAGGCATCGTGTCCGCCCCTGTTCCCAAGAAGCTGCTCAACATGGCTGGTATTGAGGATTGCTACACTTCTGCCCGTGGCTCAACTGGAACCCTTGGAAACTTTGCCAAGGCCACTTATGCAGCCATCGCCAAGACCTACGCCTACCTGACGCCCGACTTGTGGAAGGAAATGCCTTTGGCCACTGCTCCATACCACGAGTTTGCCGACTACCTGGCCAAGAACCACCGCGTCGTTGGTGGCGGTCTGCAGTAAACTACTCTGGAATCTGAAAATAAATTGATGTTGTGGGTCCAGAATGAAATATTGCATTTGCTTTGCTTATAATATGAAACATCCTCTTATAGTTCGAATCGTAAATTTTGCTGCAAAGGTATTTACCTAACATTACTCTGTAAAAAGGAATTTACCAATTTTAAAGTCAGAGTAATGGTCTTTCTCTTTATCCAGCTATAATTGCAATTAAGAGTAATAAAAGAGCAAGTAACTGGGTTATTAGCAAAAATGCTACTTTATTTTGCAGGTCGTCCAGGGCAGCATGATGAAATAACAATTAGGTATTGAGCGCGATTGTATCTGGTACAGTGGGGATTGGTTCAAGGACCTGACGGAAACCTGTTTTAGGACGGCAGCATGCGTTTATTTACTGGGCGGTCAGTGCGCCTGAATCATTTTCTTCAATTGCGACCGCCTCTGGCTACAAATAAGCCAGACGGTATCATTTTGACAAAGCGCTCCAGGTATCTACGTGACTAGAACCAAATTTTATAATAAAATTGCTATGCAATTTCACTGCCAATATCGTCTCCATGTACATTGGACAAGATGATAAATTAGCTGCCCTGGATTTTGTTACAATTGTGGTGTAAAATGATTGAACCAACTAGCAAGGAAGTTAATATATCTGATACCAGACAAAAAAATCTTTGAGATTAATTTATATTATTTATACTTGTCTTAACTTTGATGGATCGAATAATATCACAAACAACTATACAGTCATGTTTTGTTATATCCTGGTAAATATTACAAAGTTTTCGAGCAATTTCACATAAGAGACAATGAGTGCAGTTGCAAGGACAAGAGAGGAGCGACTTTCCAGTTTTTTTATTCAGAACCGCGCGTACATTCGATTGTTTCTGCCTTTTTCGTCTCCAAAGGAATGTCATATGTAATTTTTTATCCATTTACACGCGTTGAATTGAAGACCAGCTTTTGCATTGGACGCGAAATTCGGAAAAAACAAAGCTCGTCAAGTTTCTGACGAAATCTCCGACTCTTTCGCATCACCATTCATGCTGTAGGTCTGTCCTTATTATTAATACGGCTCACGCGCGCTCATTCGCTGCCGGCGGCGGCTTCACCTCGAGTCTCTTGTTTATAATAATATTGCTCCTTGTACTGAGCGCACCAAACGCAATTTGGGCACACAATTACATGCGGCGAACACGTGATTCCGCGGAAAGAGAGTGGCCGCGGCGGAGGGCAGACGTGCAAAAAAAAAACAGCAACAAAAACGTGTTTTTCGCTTCATCCGTTATTTCTCACTGCGCGTAATTATTATTTTACAGCGTCGTCGTGGCGACAAGGAAAGCAAATATGAGTGAAAGAAAAGTAATTTCTCTCTGGGCGCCAAGAAATGCAAAATATATGAGTAGCGGTGCCAGTATAATATACATTTGCGCCACACCAATTCACGTTCGCTTTGCCGTGAGTCTTAATTATGGATGTTCCGATTCCGCAACTCACAAAAGACGAAGAACTGTAATAAAAAATGATAATATGAATTATTTGAATAATGAAGACAATTTTTGGACATTTGATTTGCCTATTCAGAGGGTGTTTTATTTTGAAAGTTAAAATAATATTTGCCGAATAACTTATTTTTAATTATTATACTGTGAGATCTTAAAAAATAAATTGCATGTGTATGCGAAATTTATTGTATAGGCAATTAATATTGCTATTGCAATCAATAGTATATTTGTACACAGTGATTAATTATAAATACATATTCGACATATTCATAATATATTTTGAACTGCAACAAAACAAATTATGTCAAACTAAAATTAATTAGAATAAAATGATCCGTATTTAATCTCTTGCAAATTTGGAATTAATTTGAACTTCTTTTGTATTTGTAATTATTCATAAATAATTTTAATTTAGCTAACATCGGATGAATCCATATTTTATTCAAATTAGAAGATTTTTAATCGAAAAAATATTATGAAAAATGAAAAATCCTCTGCAATACGCAATACGTCATTCCATGTAAACAAGCTAATTTCAAAGTCGCAGAGACGCATCGCAGCGAGTTCTCAATTCTCAAACAAACTGCGCACCAAAAACCTGTATATATCGGAGCATAAACAGAATTCGTGGAAGAGCGAGAAACGAACTCGACGTAATTCTGCTCTCTTCGCTGGAGCACAATCCCGGCAATCAGCTCAAAAGCTAATAGGGCCGGAATTAAGAGGCTTCTCTTTTGGTACGATTGAGAGTCGCGCCGAAAGAGCAGAGGATTAATGAGTGCGGTGAAGGTGAAGATGGGAGGCAATAAAGCGGCGAAGTTCAGAATTCAGACTCAAACAGCTCTTACTTAGAATAATTAACAAAGTTTCCTCGTCCTGAAATTATAGCTTTTAACAACCACAAAATTATCATTGTAAAATCGGCAGATTAATTTAAAACAGGATTGATATCAACTCTCCAAATTATTTAGATTTTCCACTTTTCACTAACGTCAAAAATTTCCTGCTAAACTCCACAGGCTGTAAGAGAGGTCTTCCGCTTGTGCGATTGTTAATTGTCATTATTTTTCACATTAGCAGCCCTTTAGCTAGATGACCACCTGATTAATGAGCACCATCAAAGTCTCTCTCCTGCAAAACGTACTCCAATTAATCATTTTCGCTGGACTCCTCTGGGTTATTTGCGAAGGCGACGTAGGCGTATGTGGGTGAGGCGCTTTTCTGCACGTTGGGGGTTGTAAGGGTTCAGCATGTTTTGTGAATGGCTGGGCTCTTTATTTTATTCCTAAGCTATGTGAGAGGGAGCATCGGGATCTGCGCGCATCGGAGGCAGCCAGCGCAAAATCGTTCTGGGCGGAGAGAAAAGAGGAGGCGGCGAGCGGCGCCACGGCAGAATTGAAGCACACGAGGAGCAAGCACGGCCCTTTCGCTTCAGTGTGCCACCAGCAATCAGACAGCTAGCATTGCGCCTCTTCTACAGTCCCGGACGCAAGATGTCATTCCTCAAGTCCATCTGGCGAGGACCGTCTAAGCACAAAAGTGAGTTAATATATTCAAACTGCTTATTAAAAGTCTACGTTTGTTTCACGATTTCTTAAAAATCCAGTTCTTCATTTTTAACTTCTATAATATTTGTTTTTCCTAATAAGATGACAAGTTTATTGATGAAATAAAATATCATTAAAATAAATTTAATTGGAAGAAATCTATTATATTAAAATATCTTAATCTTTTGTACGGTATTTTTTAAAACAAAAAATTAATACCAGAAATTTTTAAAAATTTTGACGGATAACAAACTTTTTTTTAAATATTATTTTTAATAGTTGAGCTTTGTTAATAAAGCACTAAAAACCAAAATAATTTAATTTCGAAATTTGACTGGCAGTGAATTGCAAATTTTTCATTACAAAAACGTGACAAATCCTAACGGAAATAGATGGTTCTGAGTTCTGAAATATTGCATAGGAAATGAGTGGCTTTGGCAAAACCGCAGGCAATGAAGTAAACGCCTGATTTCGCCCCGAAGTGGCCTTTGAGCGAATTACTGTAATTAACTCACTAGGAGGATCATGTGCTAGACTTCCGCGAAATTGTTACTCTGAAGGCAAATTATTTTTTTATTGCAGGCTCCATAAAATTTTCCCCATTATTTTTAGTAGCATTTATGCACAGCACTGAAGTCACCAGCATCACTAGCAGACTGAGTGCATTAATTGGGCTGACCCCGCTGAGGTCAAGGGGTAAACACTGACCAAGGCTCTGCGTCGGCTGCACGTTATGGCGCTCGAGTGACGGCCCAGTTTTTGTCAAAGTGCGACACAATTCGTGCATTCAATGTGACTATATTGCAAAAATGGTCCAAAGGGCATTGATTGCAGAAATTGATAAACGAGTTCTTTTGCGTTTGAGCAGTTTTGATTTCCTTTGGGTCCAATGTGTGCCTCGGAATTGGTTCGCACATGTTCAGCTGTCAATTATTGGATTTATTTATCACCGGTTAATCTCGGCGGAATCGTAAATTTATTCGTCAGATTTCCCTTCCGTCCGGAGTTCCAACTAACGCAGATCAAATTTCGTGAAGTGCCCAAGAGGCATCTCGACAACCACCACGGCGAAGGGTGATTTAATTACAGCATTTGCCGGCTCCCGCACCACAGTTTGCAGGGCATTAGTTTTTGATTGCCTGCTGGTTTATGCAGCAGGATCGTGCTTTACGACTCGAGGGTTTACGAGAAACAATTATAAAAAGGAGCACCATTAATATAATAATTTTCAATTATAATTAAAAAGTACTTCCTTTAAATAATTATTAACCTTTCTCACAACCGCCGGGGAGCTCTTTCCTCTGCGGTCACTTGTTTGTTAGAAAGCAAAGCTCGTTTTCCCTTTTCCATTTATTCAGATCCGCAAACCAGATTCGCTCCGTGTATATAAATAAATAAATTCACAATGCAAATTCTCGTTTGCTACCTGTTGTGTGGTTAGCCAACGGGTCTCTCCGCTTGCAAGCATGAGGTATAAATAATAAATAATTGTGCTGCAAATATATAGAGAGAGGTGCGCTGGAGCAAAATTCAAGCCGCTCCAAAATGGATCTTGTGGCGGCGCGAGGGAAATAAAATATTGAATGAACTTCTGTGTATTCAATTCATAATCGCAGACCCAATACAGAAAGAGAACAAAAGAGACAATTCATTGTATGCTATGAAACAAAAATTTATTTTTAAACACACCCACACTGATCGCGACAAAAGATTGCAAAACTTTGTACTGTTTATTTCTAATTTTAAAAATTCCACATTAAAATTAAGCTAAACCAGAGCTAAATATAGTTTTTGAATAGAGTACGATTTTGAATATTAATTTTAACTTAATTTTTAAGTAACTCAATAAAGTCAGTCTATTTAAAGAATTTTCACAGAGAAATAGAATTAAAAAATTTCCATCACTTAAAAAAAGAACCGATTTATGAAAGATCAAAACGCCCTTGTTAAGTGGAGTTAAGAGAGTGAGGTTTTGAATTTGCTAACATAAATTAATTATTCTGGCTTTGGAGTTATTTATCTTATTTTATGATGATTTACGGCATGAAGTTCAGAACTCAAGTTGGATAAAATTACCATATTTTGGAATATAAAACACAAAACGTGTCTTTTCCCTGGCGTGTAAAAGTGCTTTCAAACCGACAAGGCTGTGGGCTGCAAATGCTCTCATTCGTTCTATTTCTCCTTGCGGCCAAGAAATTTGCATAATAAGCAGGCTTATAATGGCAGATCTTCCAGGGGAACAAATAAAAAGAAACGAGAGCTGCCTCTAATCATCTTCCAGCTCCGGTTTAATTAAAATCCGCTTTGCAAACGATGCGAGGGGTGAAATGCATCCTCTCGGGGGCGCGGGGGTGTGAAAACGCGTTCTGTGCGAAGTGGCTAAAGGGCCGGCAGGAGAGTTTAAAGAACGGGCGGGAGGGCGCCCTGATCCGGACGGAGCAGGAGTCATTGACGGCGGTGTGTGGGTTTGGTCTTCGCCCTGTCTGCGGTCGCCATGGCAACGCGAAATTGGATCGAAGTAGCGAATGCACACTGTTGAGAGCAGCACGGAGCGCGGCCCATTTTATTAATATACCAGTACAAATCGGCGGCCCTCCCAAAATGTTTTAACATGCTAAACATGGTTGAATAAAAAAACAGTCCCCGCGTTTGCAATAATTCAAGGAGACACGCGCTGTTCGACCCCCACGCCTTTTCTCCGCGCCAGTCCGAGAAATTACGCCCCGACGCTCGAGTGCACCGCTGATTTAGTGATCCTCTCGCACACGCACCACAAAGGGTTGGTTTGCCCTCTGTGCTCGCTCGCGAATTCACAAAAGAGACTCTTCCTTTCTCGAGTTCTCTTTCTTTCTTCGCTCCAGTTGCCGTCGGCAACACATACGAGAAGGAATTTTCATCCGCCCGGTAATGACCTTTACTCGTCCGATATAAGTTTTCCCGCAAAAGCTTTTCTTTGTTGAAAACGTGCGCAGCCGGCAGTGTTCAAAAACCAAAAATAGATGGAGTGAACAATTTTTAAGTATCCAAATATATAACCTAAGCAAACAGTTTTTAATAAAAATTTGCGCTAAAAAAAATAATTAGACGAATTTTACTTTTCAAACTTGACTGAATTCAATCAAGGAAATAAACATGTTTGATTACTCACAGTTTGAATTTAATGTTATCGTGTTATCGTTAATGAAACTTGTAAAAGTTTTAATGGGGGGGTTTAATTCAATTTTTGTTGCACAAAAGGCAATGCGTCAAAGTTCTTGCAATGATTGCAAACATCAACTCATTAGTCAATGTTAAGGAAGAGCAAAAGGGAACGTTGGTTTTTTGCACGTACTCGATTTTCCGCTTCAGCTTCCAAGGGCGGATGGATGATAACCGACTCTTGGCTGCAGGGAATAAGTCAAAGGGCTGCTCGTCCTCTTATGGGAGTTGGAGCAGGAAGAGAGTCTAGCGGGATCGTGTTCAGGAATCAAAGTTTTTGCAGTGTGCGATATGTGCGAGACGAGCAGACGCCCTTTGTGCGCCGGCAAATTTAGTTATTCCAGGCGCGTGCCTCGCAACAAACAGCCCGAACACAGGGCCAGTTTCACGCTAGGCCGGCTGTGCTATTGATCAATACCAGCCTCTCATCAGTCAGTTATATCAAACTGCGAGAGATGCGCGTTTTGTGACGGCTCTGCTTTAATTAAGTAATCGAGTTAGGCGACCGCAGAATGTCACAGCGCGCCGCTTTTTGCTCTAGCTCTGACAATCGATATATTAAGCGCCACCGGGCTAATGGTTCAGTGGCATTTGACGGAGCTAATTAATTTTGTGCGCTGACAGACACCGCGGTCAGCACCGTCCGATGGTTGATCAGATTCTGAAAGTTTGTCGTGCTGCTGGAATTGATGGAAATGGTGAGTTTAATTATCAACTTTCAATTAGTTTGGCTCTAATAAAGAAGAAAGGAGTCACTTTTTCTCTAGGTTTTATTTTTATTTATTTAATTAAGAAACAGTCAAAAATTTTGCTAAAAAATTTGCTTGCTCGGAATTACATAAAATGATATATTTTCAGTCACTGTTATAAGAGTAAAAATTTAAACAATCGTGCAATAAAAATAATTTGTAAATTCAGTCATTTTTCTTCAAATTAAATCCCTGTCTGACCTTTGCAAAAGAAACAGAACAGGACTTAATTTGACATTTATTGTTTTATTACTTGTGTATTGCATTATACTGGTTCTTGCGTTCATATAAGCCAAGTTTAGATCAGGTCACATCGAGCCCTTGGGTTCAAGCTCCTCTCGTGTATGAGCAAACCACTTGGTAGACAAAACATGCACCACTGAGCATTCGGTCACAGAGCGGCACTCTAGTTTCTCGCAAAGATGCACTCGTTTTCATGCAAGATTAAATTTTCTCTCTCTCTCTCTGCGACAAAGAATCTCGTTAGTTGGGCCAATAATAAGCTGCTAACAATAAGGCCTCGGCAGCAGCGAGACGACGACGCGCAGAAAAGTTTAGGACGGTGAACGCACACGGCGCGGAAATTGATTAAACCCGGCTGCTTTTCAAAGAGCTTCCTCGCGCGGCAGCAGGTTTATTAAATTGCCGGTGCTGACATAAATAGATCCACTCGTCTATTCAACGTTTTAATAGACGGCTCAATAATTCCGCCGCTGCAGAACTTTGCAAAGGGTTCACAACTTTAATTAACACGGATGCATTAAATGGGGAGGTTCCTGCTGGAGAGCTCCCGGGGCCCAAATTGTTATTGATGTGTGCCATCTGGGCCGCTGGAGCGCACACCTCATCCCCTTTGTGCACTTTTCATTATCATGCAAATTACGCGCGCGCTGCGGCAAAAGCCTTTTTAATAGAATACCCAGCAGGAAAAAGCGACGAGCGGCGGTTTCCTCCGGACATAGAAATCTGTTGCTGCAGAAAAGGTCGTCCAACATCAAATTATATGACAAATTGCTGTTTTTTTTTTCATCGAGGAGTTTCA